TTTTTACCATTAGTAAACCTATTTATTGTATCTGGTCATTATCTCTTAAATGGTAAATTATATTAATGTGAAGAACGATTTATTTTTTATATTTAACAAAATAAACCTTAAGAAACAAATATATTTTCAAAGATTAATTCACCAACTTGATTTTGTCTGATTACTTGGAAAAAAAATTCTACCTAACCTGTTACGATTTTCTATAAATATTTTTGGATAAAAAGTGAATATTTGTGAAAAAAAAAACTAATATTATGGTTAGAACTTAAAATATGGTGTAATATTATCTTGACCAAAATATTATCAACATGGATCACATAAATCAATCTTGTAATTTATTATAATGAATATCAGCGAAAGTATTACAATATTAATAAATAATATTTATCTTGACTAAAATATTATCAACATGAATCACAAAAATCAATCTGTAATTTATTATGATAAATATCAATAAAAATACTGCAGATATTAATAAATTTATTTAAGTAATTATTTGATCATATGTTATTTGATCTTATTTGAAAACGTGTAAATAGAAGCAATTAGTACATATATTTAAAAAATTTCCAAAAATAGTATGCATTAAATGTTTCCTAAATTTTTACTACTATTTTTAGTAAATGGTACACCTTGTTATATAGATATAGATATGTATATATAGATATCTCAATCATTTAAAGTAAGTAATGCTGTACATGCAATTCTTGGAAACAAGACAAATATATTAAGGGCTCCACAAAATGTTGTTTATTCCTAGCTAGTTTCTTTCTTATACAAATACTATATCATAACCCAATTAACAAACAAACATATATATGTTGACATGTGAATGTGACTTGTCCATAAATCATATACCATCAACAGCTTCTCTTCAATTAGCTAATTAATTGTCTTTAATTAGACACAAAAACTTATCCAAAACAAATTAGTAATATATACTTGTTTTTACATATGAATATATATATATTTCTCCTCCTCACCTTCATCCAAATTTGATATATATATATATATATATAGATATATCTGTATGTATGTACAACATGGTCTTTCTTGACAAGATGAAGAAGCCCGTGAGAGATGATGATGATCACATGATGAGGAGGTTGCTTGCCGGTTTTTAT